TTTAAGTTAAAGACAGGGTTTCACCATGTTGGCCAGGCTGGTCTTGAACTCCTGACCTCCGGTGATCCGCCCGCCTCAGCCTCCCAAAGTGCTGAGATTACAGGTATAAGCCACCACGCTCAGCCAATTTTTAAATTTTTTGTAGAGATGAGGATCTCACTGTGTTGCCCAGGCTGGTCTTCTGAAGGCTGTTTGCTTGCTTGTTTTTAAATCTTGCTTTCTTTTCTTTTTCTTTCTTTTCCCTTCCTTCCTCTCTTTCTTTCTTTCTCTCTCTCTGTTTCTCTTTCTTTCTCGACAAGGTCTTGCTCTGTCACCCAAGATTGATTGCGGGGGCCTGATCACAGCTCACTGCACCCTCTACCTGCTGGTCTCTGGCAATCTTTGTGCCTCAGCCTCCCAATTATTTGGTACCACAGGTGCATGCCACCACATCCAGCTAATTTTTTATTATTTTTTTTGTAGAGGCAGGATTTTGCTCTCACGTTTGTCCAATCAATAAACGAACACAAAAAAGTTACAATACCCAGGGCGAAGTTTTCTCTAACTCCTCAAAAGGACTTGAATTTAGGACATCTTTCTTACTGAGACATGCAAAGACTTAAAGTATGTATTATAATCCAGAAACACTCACCACTGTCTAACATTTCTTCTCCAAATGAGAGCACTAATAACCTATTCAAAAGAGTCTCTAATTATGAATGTGAAGTTACAAAGAATGTTTTTTTGTTCTTAGATCTATAAAGGTAACACAAAAGCAGCAAGTGAAAACACAGTGCATAGTTTCACTTTCGGCTGGGCCGCAGTGGCTCATGCCTGTAATCCCAGCACTTGGATTATGCTGTAATCCCAGCATTTGGGGAGGCGAAGGCAGGCGGATCACCTGAGGTCAGCAGTTCAAGACCAGGTTGGCCATCATGGTGAAACCCCATCTCTGCTGAAAATACAAAAATTAGCCGGGCATGGTGGCGGGCACCTGTAATCCCAGCTACTTGGCAGGCTGAGGCAGGAGAATCACATGAACCAGGGAGGCAGAGGTTGCAGTGAGTTGAGATCACACCATTGCACTTTAGCCTGGGCAACAAGAGTGAAACTCTGTCTTTAAAACACACTTGAGTCCCATTATAACAGAAAACAAGAGATAAAGACAAGAGCACTATTGTTCTTCTAGAGCTTAAAATGAAAATGTAAGAGAGAACCATAATGTAAATACAGTCAATACAGTGTCACTACATTCCAGCCAGGAGTGCAAGTGATTCTCCTGCTTCAGCCTCCTGAGTAACTGGGATTACAGGCACGTGCCATCACGCCCAGCAAATTTTTATATTTTTAGTGGAAACTGGGTTCACAGTGTTGGCCAGCTGGTCTCAAACTCCTGACCTCAAATGATCCACCCACCCCAGCCTCCCAAAGTGCTGGGATTATAGGTGTGAGCCACCGTGCCCAGCCTAGATTTTAGTCATGTATGTAGTTGTATATAATAGTCAGACCTAAGAGTCTGGTGCTCAGGGGAGAGGATGGGACTTGAAGTGTAGATTATCTGTTCTTTCTACTCTGTTTTATGCTATTTTAAAAATTGTACAAGTCAACAATGATACGTTTTATTTTTAGAACTTCAAATAATACATACAAAACTACAGTTACCTAGGACCACCTAGTTGAGTATACAGATGCCCTTCTCCACAATGGAATGTATACGTTTTCTGCATTTATTTACAAGTATTTGTACCCATAGCAATAATGTACTGTACATATTCTGCAACTTTAAGGCTGTTCTTGGGAGCTCTCAATTTCAGCCATTAATAATACTTATTTTGATAGCTGCATAGTAATCTGTTCTGTGATATGAATATGTGATTTAATTAATATATGAATATGCCAATTGATTTGATATCATACAAATAGTGATTTTTATTCTTTTCAGGAATTTAAAATGCTTGATGATTTTAGTTATGTAAAATTAGTATGTATATGTATATAAATTACTGAAATTACTAGCATGTTTTTGGCAGAGCACCTCACAATTCTACCATAATGATTCTCGGTAATTATGTGGAAAGTCATTGTTCTTAAAAATGTTTGCAGTTTATGCTTTCATTAATCTTTTCTACATGAAGTTAATTTTAGTTTTAAAAATATACTTAATTTTTGGCCGGGCGCGGTGGCTCAAGCCTGTAATCCCAGCACTTTGGGGGGCCGAGGTGGGTGGATCACGAGGTCAAGAGATCGAGACCATCCTGGTCAACATGGTGAAACCCCGTCTCTACTAAAAATACAAAAAATTAGCTGGGCATGGTGGCACGTGCCTGTAATCCCAGCTACTCAGGAGGCTGAGGCAGGAGAATTGCCTGAACCCAGAAGGCGGTAGTTGCGGTGAACCGAGATCGCACCATTGCACTCCAGCCTGGGTAACAAGAGCGAAACTCCGTCCCAAAAAAAATATATATATATATACTTAATTTTTATAGAGATATACAATTTTTTGCAACTTTGTAATTATGGTTAATTTATATTTAGAATAATTTACACTGTACTGTTAGAAAGGGCATTTTCTTACAATAAATTTTTAGTAGTGATAGAGATGAGTACCTTTATCAAGCAGAAAATCAGCACCCAGATATTGGACACCCAGATATTAGATTTTTCTCACTGCCTCTTAATTTACTTTTCTTGATATTGTCGTTCTATGGCAAGCAGGCTTTTGGATATTGAAGAGGAAGTAATAATTGTACATAATGTAATAATGATTGCTTTGAAGACCCTTCGTGTAACAAGCCGTTTGAATCAGAATAATATCTTGTGCAATGTGGTGTTAAAGCTTTTACGTTACACATCTCTTTTCTTTTATTAATATATTCTGGGTGACTACTAATGACTTTATGATGTATACTATATTTAAAATAAAAGGGTCCTTTTAGCAGATTGTAAGTTATAAAACATCTGAAATAGTGCAATTTAAATAAACAAGGTAAAGGAAAAAATATATGTATCATGCCAAGAAAATGAGCTGTCCCTATGGTTGAGACCAAATTTTAGCTTTGAGCATTTTTGTATGTAAGCACAGAATGAAGTAGATTGGATTTTATAGGGTTCATCTCAGTAGGAATTAATTGTTGAATTTCATTTGGGCAGAATTGAGAAGCCATAGGAATTGTTTTAATATTTAAATTTTTAAAAAGAGACCTACATTTGCATAAAAACACTCAAGACAACGTTTACAATTTCAAGGCATTTTGTTTGCCTTATTGAATTTGTGTACTTCTTCTTACGTAGGACCTGGCAAACAATAAGTGCCAAATATATTTAGTTTTATTTTATTTTTTTTATTGTATCTTATTTTTTCTTTTTTGAGATAGGGTCTCCCTCTGTCGCCCAGGCTGGATTACAGTGGTGTGATCATAGCTCACTGTGGACTTTAACCTCCTGGGCCAGGAGTGGTGGTGTGCACCTGTGGTCCCAGCTACTCAGGTGGCTGAAGGAGGAGGACCCCCCAGCTCAGGAAGTGCTCCATAACACCCTAGCCTGGGTGGCAGAGTGAGACCCTGTCTCAAAAAATAAATAAGTAAATAAAGTTGGTTGGGACATGTTATATAGATGCTCCAGGTTATAATCCTCCAGGTTTTAATCATCTGTACCCCATTGCATGATGGAGTGATCATTTTGTGATCCACCCCACCCCAACTCGTGCGTGCTAATAGTTATGCATGCCTTTTCTCCAGTTTATCTGCCTTCCTTTTGTCAGATGATTTTCAGTGAACCTTCACTGGGCAAAGGGGAAGTCTTCTCTTGGCCCCTATAGTACTAGCAAACATTGACTTCTAAATGGGTATCTTGGCCAGGTACGGTATGGTGGCTCTTGCCTGTAATCCAGCACTTTGGGAAGCCAAGGTGGTAGGATCACTTGAACCCAGGAGTTTGAAACCAGCTTAGGCAATATAGTGAGATCCCAAAAATTAGATGAGCGTGGTGGCACACACCTGTAGTCCTACATACTTGGGACTGGATAATATCCTCAAGGGAATGAATGTAGATAGAAGAGGGAATCAAGAACTAAGCTCTAGGATATGTCAACATTAAGATAATTGGAGAAAAGAAAAGGAATCTTCAGAGCATACTGAGAAGGAGCAATCCATGTGGTAGGACACAAACCTGAAGAACGTATCTTGGGAACTGAAGGGAAGAAAGTAAAACACGGAGAAGGGGATGAACAGCCATGTCAGATTTTGCCAATAAATTAGGTAGGATAAAGACTGAAATTGAAAATTGTGTTTAGCGATGTAAAGACCTTTGGTTGTTACATGATCTTCAGTAGGAAATAGCCAGGTTATCACTATTTACATATGTTTTTAATGGGAATTTTTGATGTTTACGCTGCCTTCTTTGCCATGTTCAGGTTTTCCAACCTATTGGTGGTATGTCTGACAGTGGATCACAACCTGGTTCAATGGGTAGCCTCACCATGAAATCACAACTTCAGATCACTGGTAAGTTTTAGAAACATTGGCCACTTTACTTTGTTTTCGCCCCTGTGATTAAAAAGTAATCCTAAGAGGACCGGGCATGGTGGCTCCCGCCTGTAATCCCAGCACTTTGGGAGGCTGAGGTGGGTGGGTCACTTGAGGCCAGGAGTTTGAGATCAGTCAGGCCAACATGGCAAAAACAAAATTAGATGGACTGGTGCATGCCTGTTATCCCAGCTACTCGGGAGGCTGAGGCGTGAGAATCATTTGACCCTGGGAGGTGGAGGTTGCAGTGAGCCAAGATTGCGCCACTGCACCCCAGCCTGGGTGATAGAGCGAGACTGTCTCAAAAAAAAAAAAAAAATCATTAAAGAACAAAATATTTAATGGTTGTTACATGTCAGGTACTTAATTAATATTTGCTGAATGAATGAATGAATAAAGATGTATAGATACATAATTTTTATTGTAGAATATTCTTGGATATTTTACAGTTTTTTTTCCACCTTAAACCTGGGCACCTGGGTAATTGCTATTTTTGTTTGTTTTATATTGTGTTAATGCTTTGTTGAGATATAATTCATATCCCCTACAGGTTTTACCTATTATTTATTTATTTATTTATTTATAACAGTGCATGATCATGCAACCTCCTGCTTCTGGGACTACAGGGGTGCACCACCATGCCCAGCAAATTTTTTAGTTTTTTGTAGAGATGGGGTCTCACTGTATTGTCCAGGCTGATTTTGAACTCCTGGGCTTAAGTGATCCTCCCAGTAGGGCCTGATATATTGTTAGCATGCATGGGTAGTGGTGGGGTGGATCACAGAATGATTACTCCATCACACAGTGGAGTGCAAATGATTATATACTCTTCTTCATGGGGAAAAGGAAGTGGGGAAGTGGGGATGATTTTAGAGGGATGATAAATGATTTTTAGGGGAATTCAGAGGGCTCAAAGTACATACGATGGCCTGGGACAAAGTCTGTTGGGCCTGTAGAATAGATAGTGGTTTATGACAAAAGTGTGTCCAGGTCCAGGTCTGTTAAGATTTCAGTCAGCTGAGCAGGGTGGCTCATGCCTGTAATCCCAGCAATTTGGGATGTCAAGGTGGGCAGATACCTGAGGTCAAGAGTTCAAGACCAGTCTGGCCAACGTGGTGAAACCCCATCTCTAGTAAAAATATAAAAATTAGCTGGCCATGGTGGCAGACACCTGTAATCTCAGCTACTTAGGAAGCTGAGACAGGAGAATCATTTGAACCCAGGAGGCAGAGGTTGCAGTGAGCTGAGATTTTGCCATTGCACTCTAGCCTGGGCGACAGAGCAAGAGTATATCTCAAAAAAAAAAAAAAAAAAAAAAAAAAAGAAGACTTCAGTCTTTATATTCCTGCTATGTAATTTTAGTTATTGAAAACTCAGGGAAGGGACCAAAGGTAATTGTAATTATTTTCTTCTTTGGTGGATCTGGATTTAACGCAGATAAAAGAAATTCAGAAAACAACTTCATGCTGTACTTTGAAAGAAAGAAGATTGAAGGAGGGGGGCTACAGGGGTCAGAGAGACCTTGAGAGACTCCTTTATTTCAACAAGTCAAAGCATCATATTTTGGGATATCAGTTTTTGAGCCCCAAAAGTACATTCACAGAGTCGTGCAACCATCACCACAATCAATTTTAATATATTTTCATGTCTCCAGAAAGAAGCCCTGTACTCATTAGCAGTTACTCCCCATTTAACCCATCCAGGCACAAACCCAGGCAACTCCTGATGTTTCTGTCTCTAGATTTGACTATTCTGGATCTTGCATATAAGTGGAATTGTACAATGTGTGGCCTTTTGTGTCGTCTTTGAGCAGACTGTTTTCAAGTTCATCCATGTTTATCCATGTTGTAGCCTGTATTGTTACTTAATTCTTTTTTTTTTTTTTTTTTGCTAAATAATATTTTATTGTGTGATTATACCACATTTTAAAAATCCGTTCTTCAGGATTTTTAGTAGTTGTATTTTTAGTAGAGACAGTGTTTCACCATGTAGGTCAGGCTGGTCCTGAACTCCTGATCTCATGATCCACCCGCCTCAGCCTCCCAAAGTGTTGGGATTACAGGTGTGAGCCACTGCGCAGGCCCAAAGTATTTTTCAAAGCAGGTGCACTGTTATGCATTCCCATCAGCAATATGTGAGGATTCCAATTTCTCTACACTCTTGCCAGTGCTTGTTATCTTTTTTATGATAGCCATTCTAGTGGGTGTGAAGTAGTATCTCACTCTGTGTGTGTGTTTTATTTATCTATTTAATTTTTCTTTTTTCTTTCTTTCTTTCTTTTTTTTGAGACAAAGCAGGTGACAGCCTGTTCTGTCACCTAGGCTGGAATGTAGTGGTGTGGTCCTGTCTCACTGCAATCTTTAATTCCTGGGCTGAAGTGATCCTGCCACCTCAGCCTTCTGAGTAGTTGGGACCACAGCCATGCATCACCCTGCCCAGCTCCTCATTGTGGTTTTGGCCTGTACTCTTCTGATGGCTAATGATATTGCTTTGGTTGCTTTTTTTTTTTTTTTTTTTGAGATGAGGTTTCACC